CCTAGGATCCTTTGCAACTCCTACACCTGCATCATTGAGAGCATCCTGACCAGCTGCATCACTGTCTGGTATGGCAGCACTACTGCTATGGACCGCAAACGCCTGCAGAGAGTGGTAAAGACTGTGGAGAAGATCACCAGGACTCCACTGCCCTCTCTGCAGAGCATTTACCACCAGGGTGCATAGGAAAGCTGCCTCTATCCTCAAAGATCCCACCCACCCCCAGAACGGACTGTTCATACCCCTACCCTCTGGCCAGAGGTTCAGAAGTGTGAAATGCACAACTACTAGACCGAAAAACTCTTTCTTTCCCTCTACCATCAGACTCCTAAACAGCTGAGGAGTTTATTACCAGGAAATACATCATGTACTGTTTACATTCTCAGTTTGCACATGCTTAATTGCACAATGACTGCTGACTGCTGCACATGCTGGTCCCATGCAGCATACATTCCCTATTATATGCTGCATTTGCTGCTTAAAGTGCCTTAGATTTTGTGTTACTTATTTATCTACTTTATATTTCATTTGTTTTTTGTGGCATTAATGTGGACGGCAAACTAAGAATTTCATTGTACATGGAAACACGTTTCCTAACTATATGACAAAATAAACACTTTGAACTTTGGAGTCCAAGCACTGATAAGGCAAGAATGGGACAAGATTTGGCCCAGAAGCTGGTCTCCCAGCATGCCAGAGCGAATTGCAGAAGTCCTGACAAAAAAGGTTCGACATTGTAGATACTGACTCTATACATACATTTGATTTATTATCAATAAAAGGCTTCAAAACATCATCACAGGTTATAGGCTATTTGCATCTAGGCTGTTATCAATCAACATAACCTGTAACACCTCTAAATATAATGTAGTCCAGTACAACACCACCTTTAACTATGACCTTAATAATAAGCATATAATAGAATTTATACATTTATGACAATTTCAACAATACCTGAAACATTTTGAGCTTCATAAAACACAGATGTTAAGACAAAATTGTTGCATTGATTATGCATACAATTGTACAGGGTGTGGGGGGGGGGTATTTCATTTAGCCTATACTGCAAATCATCAAAGTTAATTTAACCTCTGTTTTCTACATGATTTTTGTAAAGAGTGACAGTGTTGGGGATAGATGAGTTTTGGTGAACCAGCCTGAGGCCCGGGGCCAGTTTTCATTTAGACTCTGCTTCATTTACCAGTAGGATTTTTCTTGTGACTTCTTTCATGACCTTATAAGAAAATGAATCATAACCCTCAACTGTTTGTGCCAAGACGATTCCAGCAGATCTCAGTTGCTGATGAATCAGAGACATAACTGGTCATTATGCGTAGACGGGGAGAACACTTTCTGCTCCAGCGTGTGCTTAAGAGAATATAACAGAAGGTAGATGAAGGTTCTTATGTTGGTTTTAAATCTTTGTAACTTTTTCTTGTATATAGTTCTCAGTTCAAAACAAGAAAAAAAATGAATCAGTTGCTCATGTTTATTAGAAAGTCTAATTCATTTTTATTTCCCCTAAACCCAGAAGAAATACAAATTTTAGTAAAACTAAATGAAACAAAAATAAAAACAGCTTGACAAGTACATTCCATTTCTCAAAGCTGGAACTTAAGTGTCTGAGGCTGTGGATCCAGAAGTGCATTAACATTACATTAATGTTTTGCATCTGAGCACTTAGTCACTGTCATTTAAATACACAAGACATGTGTAAACATTGCTGTGGATTCTGTGACTTTAAAATAGTGAAGGAATGATTCTGGAGGGATCGAGTGAGTTAGTATATAATATAGATCAATAAAAGCCAATGTTGCTAAGTGAATGTGGAGTGTATAAAAAAACCACAATATAAAAATGATTACTGCACTGAATAATGCCAGTCCTGTGTGTACTGATTCATTGCTAACCTCTGTCCAAGATATTCATATATGCTTCTTGTATAATTATAAAACTGCATCCTAAAAAATGTGATCATTCATATGATGTTCCAGAAAACTTGACTTTACAAAACTGAATGCACAACTCCAGCTATAAAACACACATACTATGTAGCACCGGTATGTTAAAACAAATCATGCAGCAAATTGGGTTGCCTTCCTTCTTGGTGTGAAAAAGACTACTTCAAGAATTTTGGGGATAAAGTCCATTTTGTGGGATCCAGTGCAGCCACCATTGCTTTGGTATTGCATCCTCTCAGTATGGCCATTTTGGATGGTTCTCCTCAGAATCCCCTAAACAGAGGTAAAAGCTGGCCATGTTTGTCACTTTTATCCTATGTCGTTACTGCAGCACTGACTCCCTGGTTGACTGGCACTGTTGATGAATGGAAAGGAAAAACACAGTTAGTCCCCTAGACTCTGTACTCCGCTGAGCATGGACTACCACGGTGTCAGACAACAAACAAAAATAATTGAAGAGGCACATGATTGGCAGAAAATGCTGGATGTGCAATGTATTCACGGAATAAAAATAGAGGCCTTCATAATGTACCTCTAATTACAAGCTCCTTAGTTATAAGACCCTTATTATTTAATTGTCTGTCTGTATGTCATAACTAAGAAATAATCTGAGATGGACATGTTGTACTGTGTTGTATCAAAGTCCTATGTTCCAGTTGAGTTTAATAAACTTGCAGTGAGCACACAACTTCACTGGGTTGTGCTGCTGTTGAAATAGCCCAGACAACCAGCTACTGATTTTTAACTCAACTACGTAGGTGATCAGTTTTAGGGGTAACAATCCATTATCACCTACATCATCAGTTTTATCATGGAGGTCTACAAGGAGTTCCTTGGGTTGTTTTTTATCTAATACACACTTAGTGTCCTTTCTGAACTGTCCAGTCAATTCAGTTTGCCACATGTGGACTCCATTCAAGGAACAAGGAAGGATAATCAAAGCAAATAGGATGCATCTGGGCACAGCTTGAAGTGCCACAGGAAAGGATCTGCATACTTTTGGAAATGAGAGATTTCAGTTTTTGGTTTTTAATACGTTAATAAAAATTTCTAAAAACATGTTTCCACTTAGCCATTGGGTTATTGGGTGAAGACCGGTGGGCAAAATAAAGTTCAGTTTGTGTACAAATGTACAAAACAATGAAGTGTGCAAAAAGTGAAGGGATCTGAATATTTCCTGAAGCCACTGTAGGTACAGTACTTAAGTTATCGTCTACCACTGTGTGGAACCCACAAACAGACTAATGGGGAACAGTGTATAACTTTATCTTCCAGTGACTACCTATGGGGTAAACAGTTAAATACAATTACCAAGACAGTCACTGAGCATGTAAATATGGGATATTACAAGAAAACATCATTTTTTCCTTTTGGTGAAGCCAGTGCACTTCCATAGAAAGCAGTCTAAGTACCGTACTGAGTCAGTTTATCTCCGTGCCTCATACCGTGTACTGTTAAATGCTGAAACTGCTCATTTGCAGAGATGGCAAAGGAATACACTGTTGACATTTTTACATGCAAGGCTTTCTGCATCACAGACAGATAGTAAATGCCAAATTCTAACACAATGCTGGGCATTGCCAATAACTGATCACTGATACCATAACGTACCTGGTTTAGCACAAGCCTTCTCACACTGCTCCTGTGTGTCAAAGCGATTCTGGTTTCCATCACAGCCTCCATACCAGAAACGTGTGCAGCTCTTTCTGGGGGCATCATAGTGCCACTTGATGACAAATTTGGTACAAGTACCTTCCTCTTTGGGAAGCTGGCAAATGTCCATGGCTGTAGAAGCCGCTGTGAGGGAAGTGACAGAGAATAACAATCATACTATGAAAACACATGCAACTGGATGACACCCAGAGGGCACATATCTCCTGCAAGGTTACATGTTTAAATGTACAGTATATCCACTACATTAGATTACATATGAGCATCACCGAGTGATGTGGTCACCAGTAAATAAATTATTACACATCTACATAATAACTTGGAATGAAGAGATGGTGACAATAATTTGCCAGTTACCTGCTTGTGTTGTGGAATGAAAATCGGTACAAGGCATTCCTATCACAACAGATTTTTATTTTTCCACAGTCATAAGCTATAGTGCATTTGATTTATAGTAGACTTTGTATTACTGTAGGTATCTTGTACCACTTTACTCCAGTGTCAAGGAGGTACTGATAAATTGAACTTGCTCTGTATTTGGACTGCTGCCAAACAAACAAACAAACAAACAAGCAAGCAAACAAACAGTGAACTAAAAAATTAAAGGTTTCCATTTATTTCTCTGTAGCTATCAAAAGCATAATCTCATTTTCCATGCTTGGCTTCAGTCATTTAGATCATCTGAGGGGCAGTGGAGGACATGGGTGGGTTTGCAGTTGAAAACAGAGCACAGTTTGTGGAAACTCAAATTTGTAACAGCGATCCAACATGAAGCACTGGTGACTTGATATCCAGATATATGTCCAACATTAGGGGTGGCCAGAAAATGTCTGATTCAGATCATGTTTTGAGGACATGGATGTGCTTTTTTCCTTTCATACCGGCTAGCATTTCCTTAGCATACACATGCAGCCACATCAGAGTCAGGTACAGTATGTCATTAAAACAGGGAGTTAAAAGGAAAGAAACAGTAACATAAAATGCCTACAGAAAACTATTTGTGTTATTTAAGCCCTTATTCTGAGATCTCACCAGGAGCCAGGAGGGTCTCCACCTGTTCAACCTGCTGCACTTTTGGCTCAGGCTCTGGCACTGTGAAAACATTAAAATACAGATGTCATCTTAGAAAACACACTTTTAACAGTTGCTGAAAACTGATTAGGATTTTCAAAATGGTGTTTAGTGCAGCATAGATATCACAAGTGATCCACATTGGCAGGCTTCTTTTTTAATCTAAACCTCAAGTGACCAGTGATCATTTAAAGAAAATTTTACTATCTCCTCAATACATGGCAAGACAATATAAAGTTACATTATAAATGACAAGCAACTTGCCTTTAGCTTCTGTGAACTGTGCAGTTAGCTGCCAATCAGCTGACCCCCACTCACACTGCTGCTGCAGCTGTCTAACTTCCACATATGCAGTTTACAACAACAGTTGCAGAATGACTTAATGGAATTTCTGCACTGTAGAGGGATTCTTTTGGTTTCCCCAGACCAAACAAAGAGCAAGATAGAGCCGCTATCATTAGCAAATGTTCAGTTATAGGCTTTGTATCTGGGGTTGAAGCTCATTACATGCTGCATTAAAGTATGCCATCACACCTGGTGGCGGCACATTCCCCCAGAGAGCCTGGTAAAAACTACCGCTTACCTGACCTCATGCAGTTTTTCAAGCAGAGGGTCTCAGTGTCGAACCTATTTTCATTGCCTCCACAACCTCCATACCAGAACTGTGTACAGATCCCGTTCTTTGTGTCAAAGAACCACTTAGCCTGATAGTCTTTGCACGGCATTCCAGGGTCATAGTCAAGTGAACATGGGTCTGCAAATTCATTAACTAGAACATGCAAAAACAACAGCAGTGATGGAAGACAGACAGAGAGAGAGGATGATTTTGTGTTAAGATTAAATGTACAGTTACACGAGGCTTGCAGCAGTTACTGTGTGCTGTTAAAATGCTGCTGGCAACAGATAAATTCGTATTAGAAGCTTAAAGGTGTTCAAAGGGATCTCATGGGGTCAAAGTCTTAGTGCTGATGTGTTTCAGTGGAAAAGAAATGGCATCCAACATGGCACTGCACTCTATAGAAGAGCCAGGCTAATCACATTATTAAGTGTTTTTACTTATGAAAATTAAGCGCTGTCAGTAAAACGATAGTTCATCTGTTTCCACAGATGAATTGAAATGTTAGTTATGACTGCAGTTACTGTTAGGTGTTAGTTCATTTGAGCCATGTAGAATCTGCATGGCTGCGTGGTTCAACATATCTGCATGTAATCATTCCCACAAATCAACCTCTCAAATATTAATTATGACAAAAGTCCTCTTGAGTCTTGCCTGTATTGTCTGTTAATTCATTCTGGGACAGCACTGTGTAAACTACAGAGTGCTAGAAAAATGTTCTTGTTCACAGTGGGGTATCAAAATACCATATATCACTGACCTTTTTTTTAATGAAGACAATGTCATTGCTGTTCTTAAATAATCATAACTAACTGAGCAGAGCAGGAAAAAACTCTTTAGAGAACATCATATACATCTGCATGCACAATTACTCACCAGTTTCTGGTTTGTCCAGTGGTGTGGTGTTTACAGTAATGGTCCCTGGGCTGGCTGGGTGATGCTCTGCTGCTTCTGTCAAATTGAAACAAGTGCTCATGGAGCAGCCACAATAGTGCAGTAAAGTCTGTGAGCTAATTCAGGCAAGAAAACTACCTGACTGTTTAATATTTTTAATTTTGCTTAGCCGTAGTTTATTTACAAATAACAAATTACACAAAAAATTGTACACATTAAAGGAGTAAAAAAGGATTACACTAGCAGTTAATCTACTCAAAAGCACCCATGTAGACATCTCAAAAAAAGGTCTAAAATCTAATATTGTCAGGGCCCATTTTCTTCCAAAGTTTGCCAGGAGTGATAAGGTCAGAACCTAGAGGCCAAATATAAACTTTGGGCAGCTTAATTCACATATGAATGAATCCATTCTATATGATTTGGCTAAATGCAATGTCATATTTCTAAAGAATAAAAAGTGCTGAAGTGATACTGGACCACATCGCCATTACATATTTTGAAAAGACAGAGATAAAGATGGAGGAGAGAACAATGTGACCTCTTATTCCCACTCATAGTTTTTGTTCTTAAACAAAGCTGCAAAGTAAGTCTGAAAACTCTCAAATCATGTTACTTGGTGCGACTAATGAAGGCACTACAAATTCACTTTTCTACATATTTGGTATTATTGATATTTTTTGTATTATGTGGCAAAAAAAATGTTATGTATTGCTTTTTGAAATAAATATACAGCATTTATCCAAATAATGTCATTTTGTTGGATACAAAGGAAGCTTACAACATTGTAGTGTAGGCACTTACTGGTAGTGATGATGCCTTTGCGGGTGGAGATGATTTGCCCCTCTGCTGTGTGGGCGTTGACCACAGCATGATATGTTTGAGCACTTTCTAAATTGTCTACAGAAAGCTCAGTGCCTGACACGTTGGTCTTCAGCATCAGGGCATGGTCGTGCAACCGTGTCACTACGACCTCAAAGTAGACAAAGAGCTTGGGATCTGGGCTTCTCCAATGCAATTTCAAGCTGTTGGAGGTGACGTTAGAGACGTGTAGCTCATCTTCATCTGAGGGGTCAGACAGAGAGGTGTAAGGCATAATTTAGAACAAAGGTACTTCTTTCATGTGTGACATCTGAGAAGTGTGTGAACAATGATAATGACTGTTGATTTATGGGCAGTCAGTTTTAAGGGGTAGCTGCAGTATGCATACTGTTGCAAGAAAAAATACTGGCACTGTTTGCAATTTTCAGGTTTTCTGCATAAATTGGTCATGAAATGTGATCTGATTTTCACTTAAGTCACAAATATCACCAACACAATAGTTCTAAGATGATAAAATACAAACAGTCATGATCTTTCATGTCTTTATTGAACACACCCATTAAACATACAAAGTGATGATGGAAAAAGTAATAGTAACACTAGGCTACTAGTGTTACTAAATGTCAGCTGGAGTCAAGTGCTAGCAAATCTGGAGTCAAGTCAATGAAACGAGAAATGAGGTGTGGTATAGAATGACTGCGACTTATAAAAACACTCAAACAGTGTCACCACACAGAAATATTGTGGTTGTGGATATTTGCAACTTTGCTGAAGTATTTCATGACTAATTAATGCAGAAAACCAGGAAACTGCAAACAGTGCTATGACTCTTTCTTGCGATTTAAACTGCCGAAGCCTATAGAAGTGTATTTCACTGCATCCACAGTCTTACCTTTGTGCTTTCTCTGATGAACAACTGCTTGGTGAGTCTCATGATGCTTCTGATGTTTCCTATAAATGTTCCAATATATAATGAATTAAACCATTAGTATTTCTGACAAATTAATAGTGAACAATGACACAAAACTTACTCCTGTTGCTGTGATGACGTGAAGGGGTTTTTTAGTGGATCATCTCTCTGGAACCACTTGCAGTTTTTGGAGACTTCAGGGGACATGTAGAAAGCATTTTCAACTGAAAAGATAAGCAACAAAGAACACAATGTCTCACAGGGATGTCAGAGGGATTTAGATGATTAATGGTGTTAGATAAAATCATAGCTATGAAAGTGGACCAGAAGGTATTAAAATTGAGTGCCTGATGCTGATATCTGTCGTAAACTTACTGCTGATATACTTTGGCAGCAGCTGGCCGAAGGTCTGGATGTATTTGTCATAAAATTGTGAGATGCTGTTCAGCCTCTTGAAGAAGACATCTGAGGGCTCACTAGCCATGCGTGACAAGACACGAGCATCTCCAGCAGTCAACTTCTCACCCACACCCAGGATGACCAGGAAATAGCCACTGCACTTGACCTCAGTGGCAATGTGCACCAACTGCTGTTCTTCTGCTTCCACACTTCCTGTCACAAAGAGCATCAGTACCTTCCTGTCACGTTGGTGAGGTGCCTTCTCAAACACCTGCTCCACTGTGGACTCTATAGCAGCTGCCAGCGCCCGGCCACCCTCTAATTGTGGTGTCTTCTCTAGCAGGAATTTGACAATATCCTGAGCTGAATGTTGCTCAGTCAAGCCGATATCCACATGGATGGGAGAGCCTGTTTTGTTATGGAGGAACTCATAAGGTGCTTGCTGGATCACAGACACTCTGGCATGATGAATGGATGATGTGGGATTCGAAGAAACTTGTAGGTGTTCTACTATGTGCGCTATGTAGTGTTTAATCTCTGTAAAGACAGTGGGGTAGGTAGACTCTGAGCTCTCCAAGATGAAAGCCATGTCGATGTCCACATCCGTTGTAGGAGACCTCCTGCCTCGGCTGGTCGATGGGGGCACATAGTCACACATTTGGTCTGGATCGCAGATGTCTGAAAAAGGAAAGCAAACACTCATAGCCCTGGGACTTTTCTGTACAAGGTTATGATTATGGTTATTATTCTTATTTTTACCCAAAATACAAAACTGTTTTCATTCCTAAAATGTTTAAATAGGATAAAAAATAATGAAAAATACGAAAATCCCCGAAAGTTTTCAGAATTTTCTGAACAGAAAACGGGCACAGAGGAAATTCTGCTTGTCAGACAACAAATCTGGATAAAAATCGGTCCAAGACAATCAAAACAAAAATGATATTTACAGAATCAAAAACAGCTCTTACCTAGGCAGACATGGCATTTCATAATCTTTGCGATGACTGAATTGTACTGTGCACTCCCAGGGCTGGGAAGGACAATTACCTGTCCAAGTGTTGTGGTGTTGAACTGGTGTACAAAAAGAAAAACATTTTTTTTTTTTATTGAAAATAAATGTGCCTCATAAATTGATCTACTGTAAAGTTCAAATCTGAGATATCTGAATTGTCTGTTTTGTCCAACCTGCAGTGCTCTGCTAAGTGCTCTGTCCTCACGGTTGACCAAGAGCAGAGTGGCGATTCCAGCATCATGGAGGCGGAGAGCTGCATTAGTAATTGCCTGTGCCGGTCCTGCATCCCCACCAACAAAGAAGATGGCCACCTTCCTCATGAGGAAGCCACTGCGCACCCTCTTAAAGGTATTCTGTGCCACAAAGCTCATGGCTGTACTCAAACTGCGTGGCTTCCTTGTTTGCGGGGCTTGCAGTCCCTCAATGATCTGCAGCAGAGTACGTTTCTTTTGTGCATCAGCGAACCGGACTGCAGTGATCACATCAGTGTTGTACATGGTTAAAGCAACACGAGCTCCTCTTGGACAGTTGCTCTCAGCAATGGTGATGTCTCTGACTAGCTGCATGACTGTGTCACGCATGTTGTTGAAGCCTGCAGTCTGAGAGGCATCCATGGCAAAGGCCAGCTCAGTGGGGTAGAGAGGGCACTCCTGCTGACCTAATAATATACACAGAATGGATTGTATGGTCTGTGTAGTAGTGGATACAGTACCTGAAGTTACTATCTAATGATAACTGCCTTTTGAACTTACCAAAACAGCAAGCTGGCAGAGAAAAGGACATAAAATGTGATCAGACCGTGGTGTAAAACACAACACATGAACATCCTTACTCTTCAATATCATGCAATGATATTATGGATAATTATACTCACGACAGTTTTCTCTGATCTTCTTGACCAGGTCACATTGCTGAAAGGACAATGAATCATTTGGAAACAAATGTTTAAAGATGCTGACACCACAAATGAGTTTTGTTTTGTTTTGTTTATTTAATAAAATTTCATACAAATACTTGTACACATACCACAACACCTGGTCCTCTTGGCCCTTTCTGTCCCTATTGAGCAAAAATGGTTCTGTTAACAGCTCATCTCTGAACAAACACCCAGTAATAAAAACATGTCATTCCTTGTATTGCTGACATAACTCCAATATTTTTATTAAATTGTGTTAGGAAAGTAACATTATTTCATTGAAAAGTACAGTATATATGATGTCATAAGTTTTGAATCCATGAGAAGATGCACGCTTGATCAGGCCACAAGCGTACATATTCTACTGCAGTGGGGCCATGTCATCCATATGGAATTTACACAGCTCATAAGCAGTGTTGAATTTTAAGCTACTTACATATGGCCCAGGATATCCAACTTCTCCCTTCTGTCCAGGTGTACCGTTGGCACCAGACACACCCTGGAAAAAGGATTAAAGAAAAAAAATCACTTTAAAGTCACTAACCTGTCAAACGTTCAGAAAGAGCTTTATTGTAAAAGTTCACACTCCTCATAGACTGAAAAATGACAACAGTAACACAACTTCCTCAATGCACATAATGCATACTTTAGTTTGACTAAATATATTTGGACCCAAACTTCTAAACCATTCCATTAGTGTATCATGTATCATGCCAAATGTGTGTTCAGTTGGACAAGCTGAGCATTGAGGATAGTACTAAATAATAAAACACATATGTGCCATTGCCCTTAGAACATATGCTCATATTAATCAAATCCAACTCAGGTATGAAAACCGACCCTCTGTCCACGATTTCCTCTGGGACCAGGTCCCCCCTTGGCTCCAGCATCACCAGCTGCTCCCTATATTGATTAAAGTATAGAGAATGAAAATGAATGAATAACATCAAATGCCAGGCCCAGTGGCCAGGGTTTACGACACAACACTATATTTCCCATCCTCTGTTGAAGTTTCACTTTGAGAGCCAGTGTTTTTCCATTACCTTTGGTCCTGGGAATCCTGGGAAACCTTCATCACCCTATAGAGGGAAATGCATACACTGAAATGTTATTAGTGTCATCATTGTCGGACTGTATGTACAGGGTACATGTCAGAATTCACTTGCCTTTCTTCCATTGAGCCCTGGAACACCAAACCCATCTCTACCATCTTCACCCTAAAGGAAAACAAGTAGACAAATGTTTGACCAATATTCCAATATCATGTATATAGAAATCACTTTTGGCTTTTCCCGTTTAGGGGTCGCCACAGCGAATCATCACACTCGCATGTTAACATTTGGCAATTCAATGGCATACATTATTGTAGTTAACATGAAACTGGATTAACACCCTCTCGCTCCCCTTAATTCCAGCACAAGCGTTGCACTGTTAGGTAATACTACATGTGTTATGGTACTCATTCGAGATAGGACACATGGAATAAAAAACATCCTCAAGAGAAGTTCCAATTCACTGATTAAAACACAAAATGTTCTCAAATATAGGCTATAAGCCACAGTAACATCAATTATGACAGCAATGGAGAGAGAATGCTTTTTAGGTCAGTAGAAAGCTAATCTTAATATTTTCCGTCTTTTTTTCTCTTTCACAAAGAAAAACTAAACAACTGTGTAATAATTAGCCACTGTATTATAAGGACCTTTGGTTGCTAAAGCAATAGGGTTAACCTAAGTATGTCTGATTTACAGTTCTTATTGTGTATCATACATTTTTCACCAGTTTTATATTATGGTGCATGCAAAGATGATATGGTTTCATTCTTACAGGCTCTCCACGGGGGCCAAGTGGTCCAACAACACCCTTAGGCCCTGGTTCTCCTGGCTCTCCCTACAAAGGCACAGAAATAACCAGATAGCAGATGAGACAGAGACAGAAGCTCTCAAAGTTTCAAAGAGAACGTCACAACTTCAAATGAAAAGTGAAATATTTATTTAAGCGGCCAGGTTAGTTACTAGAAATTTAATTAAGCTCATATGTGTTATACAAGCAGGGCATTGATATTTTTCTTAATAGTGCTTTCATATTTGCTGAAATTGACTACACGTGTGTGTCCAGTAATGTGGGAGAGCTAGGTTTAGGCCAGTGGGTTTACAAATCAAATAAGCCACATCAACATATGTTCCACTCAGTACCTTGCGACCAAGAGCTCCTCTTCTACCCGTTTCTCCAGCAGGACCTGGGGCACCTCCACGACCCTAGAGTATAAAATATCAGAACATCAGAGTTAAGTTTATTATTTTATAGAAATGGTTATTATACATTTTTCTTACAAGATTTTATTGATTAATGTAACATGTTAAACTCACCCTTGGTCCAGGGTTTCCATCTTCTCCTCTGGGTCCTGGGGCCCCAATCGGTCCAGGTGGACCCTTAAGAAAGACAAATCAGACATCGCTTACTGTGCATATTGCACATAGATGTACATGCCTAAAGAATGAACACATATTTCTAAATATATAAATATTCCAGTCATGGCCCAGTCAGAACTATTTATTATATTATATACTGTATATAATGCAGCCAAAGACATTAACAATTTAGAGTGGTACAGGTTGGCACATGTGTATTTACAGACTAAATAGTCTGCCAGATACTATGTAAAGAATCACAGACTTACTCTAGACCCTCCAACACCAGGCTCTCCCGGTACACCATCAGCTCCTGGCTTTCCAGGAATTCCCTTTAATGAGATGGAAACAACATATGTTACAGAAACTGTCTGTTAGAGTTACTAAAATTATCAAACAATGTATCTTCACCAAAAAACAAAACAAAAAAACAAACAAACAAAAACCTACAGCCTGTCCAGGTGCGCCTCTTCTGCCATCAGCTCCCTAATGATGCAGGAGTACAAATAAATGTTGGTAAACAAAACAGTGCAAAAAAATATTTTGCAAAGACAATAAATACATGGCAAAACTGCTTACCCCTCTTCCAGGTTCACCGGGGCCTCCCTTATTTCCATCCTCACCAGGCTCTCCCTATAATTTCAGTAAAAATAATAAAACAACCCATAAAATTAAAAAAGCATGTATTGTTAAACTGCTATAACTTCTGTTGAAAATGTGTGGGCAGATGTCTGGGGGATATTACCGCTGGCCCGGCATCACCAGGGTCTCCTTTAGGTCCTGCTTGGTTATTATCATTTCCACTTGTACCCTATTAGACAGACATTAGTTTTTCAATTTCAGCTACAGTTGAATATTCTAAAGCAAAATTTGTCCAGGAAAACAGAACAAGAACACATTCTTATTTATACAGACATCCTGGGAGAGCAATGGCAGGCTTAGGGAGGGATGTGTACAGTCATACTAAATGTTGAAAGACTCCAGCTGTACCACTAGCCACTGTTGAGAGCCTAGCTTAAGGACTTAATGCAACCTGATGAGTCATTCTAAGATGGACTGGGACAGACAGATTATTATAATAACTTACTGTACTACTTTGACTTTCACACTGTCATGTACTGTTTATGCATACACACAAATATACAAAGACTCTACAAGTAATAGATATAGTATTACTCTATAATAAAGGATCAGGTGAGGTATCAATATGTACCACAATGTCAGTTTACAGGTAACTATTAATTTGAACAGCAAATGGCACTGCAGCCAGTTTCCATAATACTTACAGGGTCTCCTCTGATACCAATTTCTCCTCTGTCTCCAGCTTGTCCTTTGACACCTTTGGGACCCTAAAAACAATGAATATGTCTGGTCAGCATTTATTAGCACCAACTATATCAGCTAAAAATATATGGTTGAAAAAAAAAATCCAGTCGCTCACTCTTCTGCCAGGGTTTCCTCTGTCTCCTGGGGGCCCACTCACTCCACTTTTGCCCTGAAAACATGTAGCAGATGTAAAATCAAAGCACATTGCAGCTCTGCCACATGAACACAGTGGTAGAACTCAATGGCCATACATCTAAAGGCATGTAGCAATCATACATGATTCTGTATGTGTTATCGGTGCTCGAAGTGGGCTGGTAGGAAACGGTATACAGTACTGGTACATTTTACTCTTTGGCACACCAAGACTTTTTCTTGTGCACTGGCACTTCTCTCAAGCTGCCATTACGCTTTTCTGCCCTCTCCATGCGCTTGTTTAAAACTAACTGCATCTTCTGGACCGCGGACAGGACCCGACGACAGCAGCAGGGAGCGGTGACATGAAGCCGCAGTCAGGACCAACAGTTTAGGAGCTTTTTGCCAGCTACAGTATGGGAACTGGGGGGGTTACCTCCACAAAAAGAGACCTGAGCTTCCCCCAGAGGCAACAAATATTCATGTTTGGATGTTCCAAAATGATCAATAATCATAATCAGTTTTGTTGTATCATAGAACAAACTACTTACACATTAAAACTAAAACACTAAAAGTTTGATACCCCCCTCCCCCTTTCTTGTCTTTTCTTATCCTTTATGTGTCCTCCCAGGGCACCAGAGTCACTGTTTTAAGGTTCACTTCTGTGATGGATTAAAGTCTTTGCAGTTTACTGAAAAGTCTGTGACTGGTCTCTTTTACTTTGAATGAAGGCAACATATGTGCCCTGAAGGAGCAGTTAATACCATATTGCACACATGAGCCCCCCTCAGCTCAGCAGCACACAGAACTGATGGACAGTAGGCTGTGTTCAGACTGTGCAGAATGAATTAAATGACCACAATCAATCTATTCTGATTATAGTTAACATTCTTAGGTCATATAGTACATTTTATTTAAATTTTAAACCGATTAATTTAGGGGGAATACTGGCCCTTTCCCCCCCCCCCCCCACACACACACACACACACACACGCACACACTTTGAGCACTGTGTGTTACATATATAAAAATGGACATATGACAAAATCTGACATAATATACACTTACCTCTTCTCCATTAATGCCATCAAGGCCAATTTCTCCAACATCACCCTGTAATATGGTGACAATTGGTTGGGTAATCAGCACATCTGCTGTTTTTCTGATCACTTTATCTAACAGTGAAGACTTAACAAAAAAAGGAAAACCACTCACCTTTTCTCCTGAGTACCCACGAGAACCCTGAAAAAAAGAAAAAAAATGTGAAAATAAATAAATAAATAAATAAGTTAATTATTTAATTAATTAGCAATAACAAGTGTTAAAGTTAGTGTCAAAGCTTTTACCTTGAAACCTCTCTGTCCTGGGCATCCCTGGAAACCCTGAGTTCCATTCACACCAGGAGGACCTCTCTCTCCCTGTCATTAAAGAATAAAGGCAATAAAATACGCTGACAAAATACAGGAAGAATGAATACAAAGGAACATAAAGAGCTGTGAATCTAAAAACAGTGGAAGTGGTCACTTCTTGTGGAACAAAATATGGTTAAATTATAGTTTAAAGATAAAAGTCTCTTATGAAAACAATTTTAAATGTGACCATATACATGTATGTAAGTAAGGCATTCAAACTTACAGGTCCACCCTCATCTCCAGATATATGGTAATAGGAACACTGGGCGCCAGGGACCCCCAAACTGGGAGAGTGGCCCCAACAGATCCCAGGAACAACATCAGAGATCTCTGTCCAGAAGAGTGCAGTCCTAGGAACAGCTAAGATACTGCGCAGGACCCTCAAGCTCCCAGGCCTCAGGTAGAGGACCCAAGCTTGGAGGAAGGAATAAGACCGCTCCAAAGTGGGGGGCAAGTGGGGAATTTTTATATATATAAATATATACACTGGATACCTTAAACCCTGGAAGTCCAACTGCTCCTCGGTCTCCTCTGGTGCCAGTACATTTGCATGGCACTGCACAGCACTCTCTTTCTGCAATATTGTCCTATGCAGCAAAAGAAGAAGAAATATTTGGAAATTAAGCGAACAAAGTTAAAGAAACACTTAAGTTTTAGATTGGATTAATTAGTACTCACCAGTTCTTCCACAAGCTCATAGTCCAGGTCCATGATATTGATACGTAAGGGTCTGGTGTATCTAAAGCCACGACCAAATTCCAATAGCGAAGCCTCCTCAAATTTGGGCACCCGCTCCAGCCCGACCAGGATGAAACTGTTCACTCCTGCTTTGAACATTCAATCAGGAATCAGGAATAATTTAATCCTCTGCTACAACTTGTGAATATGATACTTATAATTTCATATAGCTTTAAGTATAATTGGTCAGCAAAGGCAGTTTATACTGTATCATTGTTTTACCTGACAGTCGGAGCCCTTCAATTCGCTTTTTCATTTCAGCATATGGGGCATCAATACCATCAGTCAGATGAATAACAATCTTCATGAGAAAAACACAATTCAGTTTTAGAATTTCTCACATTTTCAATATTTTATTTAAATTTTAAACTAGGGTTGCTCGATTAAATTTTTTTTGTTGGCTTTGATCCCAATCTGCCTGTACCAAGTCAGATTCTATGCACATTTACCTAAATGCTGATTACATTTATATATCAGACACATCGGCATATAGACTACTAAACTGATGTGATATGAATAAAAGACTAACTGGAAAATACAACTCCTTAAACTGGCATGACTTGATCCGCTATGCTCAGGAAATCTCACTGAGATCAACATCTCTTTTACAACAGACACCTAAAGAAAAAACTGAGGACACATTGCTCTGTTGATGTTGGTGATTTACAGTAACACAAATACACTCCCATTAATATGCTCAAAATTTTACTTCCATGCAAGTAACAAATGCATAAGTGCCGGTGACATTGGAGAGGAAAAAAACAACTACAGTAAGTTGTGGCCACGACTCCACAACTTACCAATGTGTGGGAATGAGACAGAATAATGCTTGGCCACGAGATACTATGTTTTGGCCATGACTTACTAAGGCATGGCCACAACTTATTGAGATTTTATTTTTTTCTCTCCAGTGTCACCGGAGGGGCTCCATAGATGGCCGTATGCCTGGATCAGCCCTGATACTGATTCTTAGGATCGGCCTAGTGCACCCCTACTTTAAACTGATTGAGTAACCAACCTTGACAACATTGTCCTGTCTGGCTTTGAACCTATCGATGTAAGCTGAGATGGTCTTGCCATTGAGAACAAAAGGGCCACGATTTTGCAGGGCTCTGAAGGTATCAAAGAGTTCATTGATGTGGTCTGTGAAGTCCAGATGGGCAGCGTTAGAGGCAGAGTCCATGGCCAGCATGCCCACTTGCACAGAGGGAATCTGCCCAGATGAGCAACTGATAGCTGCCATTTTGGAAATTCTCTGCAGAATGGCACCCATCTTCCTCTGGAGGTTGGTCTGAGCACTGAAGATGTTCTGGGCAGAAACATCAAAGCCCACCAGCACCTCTATACTGCAGGCTGTAAAAGAGAGGTTTTATTTATACATTTTTTATGAACTATAGAAAACATCTGGAAACTGAAACTTTGAATTTTAAGTTACAAATCAAAATACATTAGCAAGAAAAAATAATACTATATCTCTTACATTTAGGAGCTTCTTCCACAGTAAGACACAGCCTCCCCTTCACTTCATCATCCAAGGTCTCCAGGATTTGCTCATTGAGCTCTGAAAGTCCTTGAAAGGTACTCGCACGAGCCACAGTTGTTGCTTCACTTGCTAGGTTTTCTAATTCATCCCCAGTGTCGCCCACTCCTATAGCAAAGACTCTCACTCCTTTGTTCTTCAGACCAAGAGCTGCTGTTTTGCTGTCATCAGCTGACCGTCCTCCAGTGACAACCATTAGAATCTGTGGCGTGCCCTCATCAATCCTACTGCCTTTTTCTTTGGTGAAGTGAATATCTTGAATGTGTTGAATGGCTGCCCCAGTATTGATTTTACGTCCACCTTTGTACTGTACTTTGTCTATGGCATCTATAATGTCTTGCTTGTTTTTGTGTGTGTTAAGATAGAAGGCATCAGTCACATCTGCAGCATAATGTGCCAGGCCAATCCGCAGGTTGTCTTTCTCATTGAAGAACAGGTCAATCAGATTTGTGATAAATTCCATCACTTTTTTAAAGTCATCTTGGCCCACGTTAATGGAGTCATCCACCAAAAACACTATGTCAGCTTTTTTAGGTTGAAGTGTCTCTACTGCCATGAGAAGGAAGATAAGATAGTGAAGAGGACAAAGTAAAAAAAGGATGAGAACATGAGAATGAACCAAGTTAAAATGACCCATGGACTATATTACTGGTTTAAGCTAAAGCATGTGTTATCTGAGTAGGGTAAGGTGGGGACAGTTGCAACAGTGTTTTTTTTCAATGAGAAAAGCATAAGAACCATCAAACCCTTTATCCCACTTCCCTAACATGAAAACAGCAGCTAGTTGGAAGCTTTTATCATCAAAGAGGTGTTTTGGGGGTATGAACATATGTTTTTTTATGATTGGATTTCTTGTTATACTTTCCTGCAATTTCATTTTAATTGTTGTTTTGTTGACTTTTAAATGACATAGCTAGCATGTATCATGGTTACTGTGGTCAGCTTGTGTAGCTTTATGGTGGCTGGTGGGGGCAGCAACATGCTTATAAAACTGATGTAACAACAATAACCATAAAATATTACATGTTGATTAACCTTATGTAATAAAGAAACAAATAAGAATGGTGTGTTTTCTGTGTCGTCAGCATTATTAATTAAAGACCTATCTAAAATTAAAACGTGGTAAAATTGATTGCTCAGCAACATCTGCCCATAGGGTAGGCCAGTTAGTTTGTACACACAAAACAAAACAAATTAACTACGAGTTTTATAGACATACTACATTGCTTGTAAAAATATCTAGACAAATATAACTGGTAATCATCCTAAGTGGATGTTGCATCTGTCCCTTTAGTATGGGGTAGGTTGCAGCATGTGACTTCTGATTTTCAAAATGCAAATTATGAGTTTATTATTATTATGTGTAGACATATAGTATTTATGATTTAATCGTGTGGGCAATAAGCCAACAGATATGAGTTTAGTAAATTGAAACTGTGCTTGTCTAGTGTAAATAGTCTCAGAGCAGAGTGCAAACAATGTTGCAACCATCCTTGCCTTATCTTATCTGTAAATTTGTGCAAAACTTACTAGGCTCTTGGGTTGGTACCACAATTCTCCCACTCAACCTTGCAATAGTCATCTCTTGGACTAATGGCAGGCCAGGGAATGTAGGAACCTGAAGGACATCATCTGGGGTGGTGGCAATTAGGGCTAGCTGCCTCATGTCAGCACCACTAGTTCCAATACCAATACAGTTTACCCCGGAGCCCTTAAGCAAAGGGCCATAGATGGAAACATCTTGGGCTGAACGTCCACCTGTGAGAACCACAAGATGCTGGGAGGCCTCAGTTGGACGAGCACCAGCAGAGGGCTTTAACTCATTCTCTGTAACATAGTTAATGGCGTCAGCCAGATGTGATGACCGGCCACCCATCTGACGAAGCCTTTTGATAGCAGAGATAACAGCTGCCTTGTTATTGTGTGACTTGAGTGAGAAGTCTGTTTTAAACCTGTCTGCATATTGGACAACAGCCACACGCACTTGATCAGGCTGCACGTCGAGCCGTTGTACAATGCTGAGGATGAAGTCACGGATATGAGCAATGCCAGAAGGTCCTGTATTGTCTGAGCCATCAACAAGAAAAATAATGTCCTTTTTTCCAAGATTTAGGGTTTCCTCAAAACCTACAAAACAAAGACAAAGGGAGACATGCTTTATTTGAAAGTACAGTATATTAGCCAAAGACTGGTGCATTTTTCTAAATTCCACCATTTTAACATAAAGCTCCAGAGTTTTAAAGAGGTGGACAGTAACTGCATTACCAGTGCATCATGAGGCTCCCCCACCCCACTTATATGAGAAATCAAAAACAATGCTAAAAAGCAAATTTTGAAAACATTAAATCACTAATCAACTTCAGCACGTACAACTTATGATAGTATGAGAGAATATGAGAGAGTATTTATTACCCACTGTGGGATGAACATGAGCACTGATGATATCAGCAGTAGATATTGTTTTGATTGAATCAAGGAGCTGTGACTCCATGCCTGGAAGCCTCTGGAAACTCTCAACTATATATGCAAGTTCGGGTTTCAGGGAAATCCGTCTCAGTTCATCAGGGTCTGCATTCCTTGACCCAATAGTAAGAAGTGCAACCTGGTTCCTCTTAAGTTGATCAGCTGCAGTGGATACATCATCTGTAGACTTGCCACCTGTGACTAGAAAAGGAACTGAGGTACCCCTTCCTCAATGCGACTTCCTGCCGACCTCTGGTAGATGTTTCTAGAGACCCACTCAAGAGCTTGACCTGTGTTTAGATGGTTTCCACCTTTGCTTCGAAGTTTTCCCACAGCCTGTTGTACCTCTTGCTTGGTGGAGAATTCGTTCAGAAGAAATTCTAACTTTGGGTCATCACTGTACTGTACCACTGAAATTCTGACCTTATCCATTCCTACATCCAGCTTATTCACAACTCTTCTTATCATGTCACGGATGGAAGGGAACTCGCTACGTGTTGCTGTTGTGCCATCAATTAAAAACACAACATCCCTCTTTTCTCCTTCTGTGGTTGGTCTGGTTACTGCTCAAAAAGAAAGAAAGCACAGGAGCAAGGAATGAATGCAAAGTTTAGTATTCTTAATACAGAGGACATGCACTATGACTGTGAGAGTAAAATATCATGTAAAGAGTAAGTCACATGTATAATTTCAAACTTGATTTCAACCCATTCTGTAGTAAAGAAATTGACATATGTGAGAATGTGTTTAGGCTTTAAATCATTCTTGCATTAACAAAATAAAATTACCATCATATGTTGGGAATTCCGGATGCATCCTGGCAATATCATCATCTGACAGTTCAGTGAGAGCTGTGAGCAACTTATTTTGTACTATGTACAGGCCAGGGAGGTCATCTACAGTGAACGCAAACTTAGGAACGTATGACACCACATGGAGCTCTGCAGGGTTAACGTCCCTGGTCCCAATGCTAAAAGGAAGCACTCCAGATTGCTTGAGGGAAGATGCTGCATGCCTTATGTCATCCGAAGAAGGTCCACTGGAGACGGCAATTACAAACTGTGGTACACCCTCTTGCTTCCTGCTACCACGTGCTGCTGTCAGAACATCCTGACTGACAAACTGCAAAGCCTGACCCAGGTTACGATGTCTTCCTCCTCGCTGTCTTATTTCCCCAACAGCATTGAGAACACCTTGTTTAGTTGTATATGAGTTCAGATACATGTCAGCCTGAGGAGAGTCACCATACTGGACAACGCCTATTCGGATCTTATTCTCGCCCACGTTGAGATTCTCCACGGCCCTGCGGATAAACTCCTTGATGATAGGAAATTCCCGTCCAACGCCATCAGATCCATCAACAAGGAAAACAATATCCTTCCGGGGGCCCCGCGACTCAGCTAAAAGAGAAGGAGAAAAAACAATAAAAGGTCTGCTGGAGAAATAATCAAAATATTTACCAAAAGGTCAAAGGTCATTACACTAATGTATAACTTATTAAATAACTGTTGGACTCCTTCCTTGATAAAGTGGAGAAAAACTTAGCATTTGTTCTTCACCCAAAATATATTTGGAAGTGTTTTAGAGGCTTAAGTGCATAAATTGCTTCAGTTAGTGCAAACTACTGCTGCTGTGATCTCAGTGTTGGGTTGCAACTAGCAGTGTCAATTTTGACACCCGAATTTGATTTAGTTTTAGTCTTTTGAGAAAAATGAATATTTGTCATGGGGGCAGGCAACTGATGGACCCAATATGCAGACACATCGGGATTGGAACACAAAAGGAGTTTGTTTAGTATACAAAGGAAGTCAGGTTACTCGGAGGAGAGAGGGGACAGAGGCATAGCAGGTACTGGACAGAAAAGGTAGAGCAAGTATAGCAGGTTCTGGACAAAGCAGGCAGTAAAACTGCACATTTTACAGTGGCCTTTTATTGTGGCCAGCCTAAAGCAGACCTGTGCAATAATCATGTTGTCTAATCAGCATCTTGATATGCCACACCTGTGAGGTGGATGAATTATCTCGGCAAAAGAGAAGTGTACTCACTAACACATATTTGTGCATTTGTGAACAATATTTGAGAGAAATAGGCCTTTTCTGTACATAGAAAAAGTTGTAGATCTTTAAGTTCAGCTAATGAAAAATGGGGGCAAACACAAAAGTGTTGCATTTATAATTTTGTTCAGTGTATGCGTTTCAATAGATGCACCAGCTGTTGTGCTACAAGTGCTGTAGCTGATTTGTGCTATAATTGCATTAACATTTTATGACAATACTCGTGAAAATGCAAAAATTGTTTAAAAAGCATGCCCTTAAAATTTATATTTACGTGTTTTTCAAGTACATAGGTTGTTCATCATTCAAAATATCACTAACCTGATTAATGCTGGTTCATTTGACTGAAATTCAAACTGAGCAAAATACAAACTGTAACCGAGGTAATTTGGTCTGATTCAAATCTTGACCTAAAACCTTTCTGCATATACTTTTGACATGTTGTTGTGTTGGTTTTCTTCAAATACTCAAGCTTAAACCCACAGTAAAGTATGACATCAGTAACCACACTATTTGCACATGCATAATTGCACAATGTTGACTGCTACACATGCTGCTCCCATGCAGCATACATTCTCTATTAAATTCTTTTACTGCATTGCAGCATTTCTTGATGCATAAAGTGTCCTAGATTTTGTGTTACATGCATAACTGCACAACAACTCTGCTACACATGCTGCTCCCATGCAGCATACATTTTGTTATATTCTTGTATATATATATTTTTTTACTATATTGCGGCATCTGCGCTGCTTAAAGTGCCTTAGATTTTGTGTAATTTATTTATCTGTTTTATATTTCTTTTATATTTTATGTGATTTATGTGGACAGCAAAGTAAGAATTTCATTGTACAGGGAAACACGTTTCCTAACTGTGCATATGACAAAATAAACAGTTTGAACTTTGAATTAGTGATATATATTTTAATATGGTCTAATTGGTGTCCT